GCACCTTGTATACACAGACCAATGTGCTCTTAAATATGATCACACTCACCTGCCCCTTCACCCACAGCAGCCCTCTGGCGGGCTCCACCTTGTACACCCACACGCTCTGCACCGTGCGCTGCTTGTTGCCCATCTGCCCCGCCATCTTCTTGTTCTTGAACACCTGGGGTGTTAAGACAGGGGGAGGGGAGGCACAAAGAGTGGGGGAAGAGCGGGGGAAGAGCAGGGTAGGAGCAGGGGAGGAGCTAAGGCGCTGCTTGCTGCCCATCTGCCCCGCCATCTTCTTATTCTTGAACACCTGAGGTGGAGCAAAGGGAGCAGGGGAGCAGGGGTAGCAGGGAAGCAGGCGGAGCAGGGGGGGCAGGGGGAGCAGGGGGTGCAGGAAAAAAATGCAACAATGGGGACAAGTAATGCGCACATGCAACAATCAGTAAATAGCGTTGATAAATCGTTTTGTTCCTAGACACCAGCGAGAGAGGAGGGGTCAAGGGACCAGCAATGCACTCTTACCCCTACATGTGCTCTTTTGTTCATGCCTACAGGTGCAAGTAACTTCGAGCATGCCTGCTACCAATCTCACCTTGCCGGGGTCCTGCCGGCCTCCTGTGGATCCATGGCTTCGATGTGAGAGATTGATGCTCCGTGGGATGCAACCTCGACACACACACTCACTGCAGTCTTACCGCATCATGCCTGCAGCAACCAGCCTCACCTTGCTGGGGTCCTGCCGGCCGCCAGTAGACCCGTGGCTTCGATGCGAGAGCGACGCTCCATGGGATGCGGGCATGCCCTTGAAAATACACGTTCTCTAGCAACAAATACCTGCAACCAGCCTCAAGTTGTCGGGGTCCTGCCGGCCGCCAGTAGAACCGTGGCTTCGATGGAAGAGAGACGCTCCGTGGGATGCAACCTCAACACACACACACACTCACTGCAGTCTCACCGCACCATGCCTGCTTGCAACCAGCCTCACCTTGCCAGGGTCCTGTCGGCCTCCTGTGGAACCGTGGCTTCGATGTGAGAGTGATGCTCCGTGGGATGCGGGCATGCCCTTGAACCCCCACCGCTTCATGGGACCCTATGAATGGGGAAAGGGGAAAAAGGAGAGGGGAGGGTAAGGGCGAAGGAATGGGGGTGAAGGAGAGGGAAAGCTGGGGAGGGGGGGTTAAGATCCAACTCTGCAAAAACCACAAAGTGTACGAAAACCACACCCAAAATCCTTCTCAGGAACCTCACTTCAAAGCCACACCTGGATCTCACAATCACAACAACCATACCTGGAACCCCTTCCCCACGGTGGTCCCTGTGACGTCCACAAACTGCCCAGGAACAAAATGCCGCACGTCTATGGGCGTGCCCACGGGCAGAATACAATCCTCTGACACACGGAACTCCACTAGTTTTCGCTTCAAAGGCACCCCTGCTGCCCGGAAATGCCCCAGCTCCGGTTTGGTCAGCTGCTTGGGTTTTTTCTGCCCGGACCCGATTTGCAGGGAAGTGTAGCCTTCTTTCTCCCTTGTTTTCACCTGGGTGGGGAAGATGAGGGAAAGAGAGGGAAAAGGTTCAGAAAAAAGGGTTACAATTGAAGATCCCAACTGTACCTACCCCATTTCGTTGTAACACCTTTCCCAGCCACAGCTTCACTGCCAGCTCTACCCTAATCATCATCCCCAATCGCACCTACCCTAGTTGTACCCTCCCCAGTCGCACCTACCCTAGTTGTACCCTCCCCAGTCGCACCTACCCTAGTTGTACCCTCCCCAGTCGCACCTACCCTAGTTGTACCCTCCCCAGTCGCACTACCTAGGCACCTGCCCCAACCACAGCATATCTACCTAACCCAGTCTTCCCTACACCAGTTGTCCCTACCCCCAGAACAAGGTCCCTAACCCTGTCGCACCTGCACGACTTGAATGTCGTCTATCCAGAGCACAGTCAGGCACATGCCTACCCACCCCAGTCGTACCCACCCCAGTCGTACCCACCCCAGTCGTACCCACCCCAGTCGTACCCACCCCAGTCATACCCACCCCAGTCGTACCCACCCCAGTCGTACCCACCCCAGTCGTACCCACCCCAGTCGTACCCACCCCAGTCTTACCCACCCCAGTCTTACCCACCCCAGTCGTACCCACCCCAGTCTTACCCACCCCAGTCGTACCCACCCCAGTCTTACCCACCCCAGTCGTACCCACCCCAGTCTTACCCACCCCAGTCGTACCTAACTCAGGACTAGGTCCTTAACCCTGTCGCACCAGCACGACTTGGTTGTCGTCTATCCAGAGCACACTAAGGCATAACTACCCCAACCACAGCATACCTACTCCAGTCGTCCTACCCCAGCCGTACCTGCATTCATGAACCATACCTGCACGACTTGGTTGTCGTCTATCCACAGCAAGGTAGAAAAAAACGATTGTCGAAAAATACGATTGTTTTTTTCGATGGTTTTTTACGGTATCTTTTGGGAAAAAAACGTCGTTTTTTTGTTAGACAAAAAAACTCTTCAACTTCAAAGATGCTGTTCTGATCACAAAAGCACTTCTAACAATCTTCCGCTGCATCATCAGCACTTCTAACGGCCCCCTTGTTCTTCTCACCAGTCAATCCCCTTGTTTCAGCAGCAGTTTTGGTCTTTTTACTGAAAAAAACGAAGGTATTGCAACGCTCCAGGGTAGCCAGCAGTTTTGCACCAAAAGTATTTATTTTCAAAAAACCGTTTTTTATCGTTTTTTACGATCGTTTCTTACGATACGGTATTTTACGATCAAAAATTGAAAAAAACGTCGTTTTTTTGCACCTTGATCCACAGCACAGTCGGGCATGTACCTACCTACCCCAGTCGTACCCACCCCAGTCGTACCTAACCCAGGACTAGGTCCCTACTGGTCATACCTGCACGACTTGGTTGTCGTCTATCCAGAGCACAGTCAGGGGGATCCTAACCCCCCACTTGTCCCACGTGGCAGTCATCCCGCATTTCACGGCGATCGCGCCCGTGCGCACGGATCTCCCCGCGGTCAGCCCTTCGTCGTCGTCATCCTCCCCCCATCCGCGGACCACCTCCTCCGCCTCCTCCGCCGCCGCTGCCGGAGCGGCGGAAGCGGCGGATGCGGAGTGGAAATTCCGCGAGTGAATTTGTGCGGTGGAAGCGGAAGCGGAAGCGGCGGGAGTGAGTTGCGGAGGAGCGGAAAGATGCGCGGAGAGGAGGCTCCGCGTGCAGCTTGGTAACCCGCGAAGCAGATCGACTCTCAAGATCTGATCGCCGGCGGCAGCGGCGGCGCCGGCGCCGGCAGCGGCGGAAGAATCAAACACTCTGGTGTATAGCTGAGACACGGGAGTGAGGGCGGGAGCATGGTGAATGGAGTAATGACCGTGTGGACAATTGGGGTAATGGTAAGTCGAATGGTGATGGATTAAAGGCGGGGTTCTGGCGGTTCGGCGGCTTCGCGACGCGCTTCTGACGCTCTGCGCTGCCACGGAGCCAAGCCGCCGGAACATCATGACGACAGCAGACGGTGGTGTTAGGAACGCCGCGCAAGCGACGAGGGAGGGGGAGCACTAAGGGAGCGTGAGTAACGGTTAGCAAGGAGCGAGAAGGACTGGCGGTAAGGTCGTCCAAAAACTACGGGCGGCTCGTGTTTGGATCCGTTGCCTCACCGCGTAGCCGCCAAAACCACATACTGGTGAAACCGAGGAATAAGTGGCACAGTATTCCCGGTGTTGAGTGCTCCGATGCTAAACTACAATCGCCAATCTCAGATGTGTAAAGCTGCGTATTTGAAAAATCCAGAATGTGTATTTATTTTCTTGTTCCTCCTGCATTGGAGGTGGGTGCTTTTCATTGGCTCGCGCTGGTGGCAGCTGGCGAATCCTGACGAATCAGCGCGCTACTCATCTGTGGAAGCTGTCTTCATTGCGAGTACAACTACGAAGGGTAACGTTGGTCGTCATAGGTTTCGCAAACTGATGCCTCGTGCATGAGTTTCCTCACGAAACCAAGTTCTGATTCAGGACCAAAAACCACGAGATTTCACGGACCAGTCATCTTGATTCTACTCGCTCGGTTCTACTCTGTTGTGGGCCGTTTGGGATCATCCTTGACTTGTGGGACTATTGAAAGTTTTTGTGGTCTTTATAGCTTCATTTAGGAGTACTATTGTCAACTCAAGGCGCGACGTTGTTTTTTTCGCTCCGTCCCCATCAGATCAGTTTCATTTCTCAGCAATCCACGACGGCACCGACCTCGCTACAGCCTCTCGTTCCTCACGATATCGTTCTTGCAAAGACTACGCTTTCGCCGGTCAAGGCTTCATTCTCCATGCTCCTGAATCTTACAGAGAGTAAACCTCGTGCGTTTCGGTCAAGGTTTCTTTCTTCATCTTCCGGAAGCTTCCAGCAGTTCCGTCGCCCTGCGGGTTTTTAAAGCGCTTCAAAAGTCGACCTCGTTCTCCGCCGTCCAAACGGCTTTCTACGTGTCACGTCGCCCTGCGGGCTCTACATGTTCCGTGCAATCAACCTTTTCCATGTTCCTGAAGCTTACGGCGAGTAGACCTCGTGCTCCTGACCTCGTGCTCTCTCGTCGGGACTTTTGTTCTCCATGTTTATGAATCTTCCCGTGATCACACCTCGTGCTCGAGCTGTCAAAAGAGGACAGGTGGGCTGCGAAGGCCTCGTGATCACACCTCGTGCTCGCCGGTGAGGGCTTCTTTCTCCAAGTCACTGAATCTTCCAGCGGTTCCATCGCCCTGCGGTTTTTTCGAGCGCTCTAAACTCGACCTCGCACACTCGGATCAAAGCTGCATTCCCCATGTTTCTGAATCTTCCAGACGTCCCTACAACCACAGCCTACCATGGGGTCGCTTCCCAGAAGGCAATGCCTCGCCTGGCTCCTCCGCGCCAAATTATGAATGTTTTCTTTCGCTTTTGACCTTTCAGTCGACTCAAAAGGCACCTCGTGAAAAGGCACGTCTTTCCAGCTGTCACCGCCGTCCTCTGCCATGGGGTCGTTAGCCAGAAGGCGGTGCCTCGCCTGGCTCCTCCACGCCAGTGAAACCGCACCTGTTGCTTCCAGACTTCCCTTTGCACTTCCCAAGAATCAGCTCATACGCGTAATAAGCAATTCCGTCAACTCTCCCTGCTCCAACTCCTCCAACACGAAACACGTCCTCAGAATTGCCGATACCTGCAAGACTTTCGAGAACTCCAGGTCGCGTTCGCCAGCTGCCTCTGTGCTGGCAGCGGTGGTTACCAGTGGACCTACCGGTGACACGGGCAGGGCGGGTGTCCGGAGCCTTCACCCTTCCCCGCATGTGAGGGTGTTTCATGCCTCTGCGCTGGCAGCAGTGGTTACAGGCGGTGCAACTGGGGGTGACACAGGCAAGGCGGGTGTGGGGGGGCTGCAGCCTTCTTCCCCGCATGTGAGGGTGTTTCATGCCTCTGCGCTGGCAGCAGTGGTTACAGGCGGTGCAACTGGGGGTGACACAGGCAAGGCGGGTGTGGGGGGGCTGCAGCCTTCTTCCCCGCATGTGAGGGTGTTTCATGCCTCGGCGCCGGCAGCAGTGGTGACAGGCACGACAGGTGACACGGGCAAGGCGGGTGTGAGGGGGCTGCAGCCCGCCCTTGAGGGCTCAAGCGAGCATGCTGGGGAGGCGGGGCGGTCCAAGCTGGTGGAGGCGTTTCAGATTCAAGTGAGTGGCTGGCAGGTGTGGATTGTGCGACGTGCATGGGGTGCGAGTTTTGAGTTGACTCAAACTCGTGAGTCGTAGGCAGATGTGCATGGCACGAGAGTATGCTGGGGAGGCGGGGCGGTCGAAGCTGGTGGAGGCGTTTCAGATTCAAGTGAGTGGCTGGCAGGTGTGCATGAGAGTGTGCATGGCACTCTGCTTAGACCCACACGAGCATGCAGGAGAGGAGGGGCAGGGCGGTCGAAGCTGGAGGAGGCGTTTCAAATTCAAGCTGCGTAAATGAGCATTAGAAAGATCCGACTAAGCTATAGATAAGAGTATATCTTCTCACCCGTTACATTCTCTCTTTTTCTCCCTCTCATTTCGTCCCCTGATTTTCTATCCCACCTCTCCTCGTTGTGTTCTCCCATCCTTTCTCACAGGCAGCATCAGACCCCATGCATGGCTTCATGGTTGCGCTGCGTAAGTCTGAGCTTGGTTTTCAGACCGGCCTTGCATGTTTGAGGTCTCGAATGCCATCCTTCCATTGTCGCTCACTCCTCCTCCACCTCTTTTTCAAGCCCCCCCGCTTCCCCTCCCCTCCCCCCCCCCCCCCCCCGCACAGGCAGCATCAGACCCCATGCGTGGCTTCATGGTGGCGCTGCGGAAGTCCGAGCTCGGTTTTGAGACCGGCCTTGCGCTGAGGGACCTGCGAGTGGTCATTTCCGCCCTGCAGAACCAGGTGCGGCGATGAAGCTACCGAACCAGGTGGGCTGCCGAACCAGGTGGCTTGCCAATCATGTAGGCTGCCGATCCAGTTGGGCTACCAAACCAGGTGAGCTGCCGAACCAGGTTAGCTGCCAAACCAGGTGAGCTGCCGAACCAGGTGAGCTGCCGAACCAGGTTAGCTGCCGAACCAGGTGAGCTACTGAACCAGGTTAGCTGCCGAACCAGGTGAGCTGCCGAACCAGGTTAGCTGCCGAACCAGGTTAGCTGCCGAACCAGGTTAGCTGCCGAACCAGGTTAGCTGCCTAACCAGGTTAGCTGCCCTCAACACTTCCTCTCCCCGCTTTCTTTCCTCTCCTCTTCCGAATTCTACCCGGACTCGACCCATCCCCTAGATCCCTTTTATTCTCATTCTCGAGTCTGGCGCACGTGAGAGCAGTCATCACAGCCAACCGCGCCTACGTCTCAACATCTCCTCTTTTGAGTCGACTTTTGGGTCGACTTTTGAGTCGACTCAAAAGCCTACGTCTCAACATCTCCTCTTTTTTCTCTTCCCCCGCCTTTCTCTACCCCCGCTTCCCCCGTCCTCCTCCACCCAACCCAACTAGATTTTCACTGTCCTCATCCGCCCGCCGCCCGTGGGCCATACTGGTGAGTCTCGTGCACGTGAGGGCAGTCATCACAGCCAACTGCGCCTACGTCTTCAACACCTCCCATCCTCTCTTTTTCCTCTCCTGTCTCTACCCCTCCCTTCCCCCTTATCCCCCGGCCCTTGTCCTTTGTGCCACAGATCCCCACTATCCTCATCCGCCCACGGGCCATAGTGGTGAGTCTGGCGCACGTGAGGGCAGTCATCACAGCCAACCGCGCATATGTCCTCAACACCTCCTCTTCCCCACTATCTTCCCTCTCCTTTCCTGTACTCTCTCCCCACTTCCAACCACTTCCCGTGACTGGTCTCCTTATTCCCCATATCCCCCCTCTACAGATCCCCACCATTCTCATCCGCCCGCGGGCCATAGTGGTGAGTCTGGCGCACGTGAGAGCAGTCATCACAGCCAACCGCGCCTACGTCCTCAACACCTCCTCGCCCCGCGTGCGGCAACGACTCATCCCCACCCTCCTGCGCCGCCTCTCTGCTTCGCGCTCGGCCGCTGCTGCTGCTGCTGCTGGTGCTGGTTCTGGTGGTGGGGGTGCTGGGTGTGATGTTTGCTCTCCCCCATCGCCCTCCTCCCCAGCTTCGTTTTCGGGGTCGGATACGTTTTTCTCGGGTGCTGTGACGGTGTTTTCTGACTGCGGGGGTGAACCTCAGGGGAGTGAGGTGCGTGGATTGGAGGAGGGAAGGGATAAGAGGGGGGTGGAGCTAAGGGAGCTGGAACGGGAGGAACAGCTGCAGGAGAGGCAGCAGCGACAGGAAGGGCAGCAGAAGGTACTGGGGCAGGAATATGGAGAGGTACAGGGGCAGGGGCAGGGGGAGGGGCAGGGGCAGGGGCGAGAGCAGTGGGGTTCTGATGTGTGGGGTGGTGAGGAAAGCAGGTGTAGGGAGAGTGGGAGGGAGGTGACGGGAGTGTGTGGGAGAGGAGAGGATGATTATGAAGCGAGGGGGCATGGAGAGAGAAGGGAGGGAATTTTCTTAGAAGAGGAGAGGGAGGAGAGGAGAGGGGGTGCTAAAAGGGATGATGGGACGGATGGTGGGAGGACTGATGAGCGAGAAGAGGAGTGGTGTCAGGGGTGGCAGGAGGAGGTATCTGAGAGGAGGAGAGAGGAGTGGAGGGCGAGGAGGCAGAGAGAGGAGGAGAGGAGGAGGAACAAGCGATGGCTGGAGGATTTGGAGAAAGAAAGCAAGGGAAGGTTCAGTGAAGCTTCGAATGGAGAGGAGGAGGAGGGGGAGGGGGGGCGGGAGCACGGGGATGGGCATTTGATTGGGAGTGACGGGCAGTGGGAGCGATACGGGGAGGTGCTTCTGCTGGAGTTGACTCAGAAAGACGGTGTTCTGTTAAAGCCTGGTCAGGCAGGGCAGTTGGGTCAGCCGGGCCAGTTAGGTCAGTCGGAGCAGCCCAGTCTAATGTCACAAGGGGAGGTGCTTGTAAGGGAGGGTGAGGCGAAGACAAGGCAAAGGGGAGGGGAAAAAGGGGAGGAGGGGAGCAGAGTGGATGGAGGAAGTGGGGGGTGGGTAAGAAGGGAAACGAGGGAGCAGGAGAAGGCTAAGGGAGGGGAAGAGAGGAGGTGGGTGGAGCATCTGGAAGGGAGGGGAAGGACGGGAGGAGTAGAGGTTGTGAGGGGTGGAGTGGTGGTTGGGAGTGGTGGAGAGGCGAGTGGAAGGGGTGCTGGAGAGAGTAAGATAGACATGAGGGATGCTAGTACCACTACCACCACCAACGACAACACCACGAACAATAACAGCACGAAACACCCTCCCCAGTCCACAGCAGCCCTGACCATACCCAGGGTCGCACCCACCCCGTTTGAATTCCAAGTCCTAGAGGCCCTTCTAGACGAGGTCGGGGTGACTCTGAAGGTCAAGTACGCGTCCATATTCCCGGGCGTGTACCAGGGCTTGAGGGCGTTCGCCGGGGGGCGAGTGCCGTATGAGCGGGCCATGGCGGAGCAAGAGGCGTTTCTGAGAGCCAAGAACGAGCTGCTGCGGCTGGAGCGGAGCGCGAATCAGATATGCAACGCCGTCCGGGAAGTGCTGTCGAATGATGAGGTGAGCACATGAGGGGAAGGGGGTGGAGGGGATGTGTGTAAAGGCGTTCCTGACTCCTGAGAGCTGAAATTGAGCTGCTGTGGCTGGAGAGGAGCGCCAACCAGATCTGCAACGCCGTCCGTGAAGTGCTGTCAAATGATGAGGTGAGCATGGTTTGGTATAGAATTCATCTGAGGAGCCTCAGAAGGAGGCCTCTGAAAACGAGATGCTGAGTCTACGAATGAGAGTCAAGTAAATCCGCAGTGCTCAGGGTGGGGAGGGGATGAGTGCGTCTTTTCTTCCTGCTTTTGAGGCGTCTCGTAACATAGATGGTGAGGGTGGGATGAAACGTGTTTTTTCTTTCCATTCCATGTCAGGAGATGGCCGCGATGTACCTGTCGAGGAAAGCCTCCCTCACCTCTGGTGCCACCAGCAGTGGGAAGGGGAGCACAGCAACGTGGAGGAGTTTTGAGGCGCCTCAAAAGTCGTTTTGAGGCGCCTCAAAAGAAAGCCTCCCTCACCTCTGGTGCCACCAGCAATGGGGTGGGGAGCACAGCAACGTGGAGGAGTTTTTGGACGACCACCTGAGGCGGGTTGACTTTTGAGTCGACTCAAAAGTGGAGGAGTTGTTGGAAGACCACCTGAGGCGCATGGACGAGGTGGTGGGGGAGGCGGCTTACATGCTCCTCCTCCGACGTCCCTTCCCTTCCCTTTCCCGCAGGACATGGCAAAGATGCACCTGTCAAGGAAAGCCTTTCTTTCTCCTAGGGGAAACCAACAGTGGGAAGCACAGCGAGGTGGAGGAATTGTCGGAAGACCACCTGAGGCGCATGGAAGAGGTGGGGGGGGGGGGGTGACTTTTGAGTCGACTCAAAAGTCAGCTGAGGCGCATGGAAGAGGTGGGGGGGGGGGGGGTGACTTTTGAGTCGACTCAAAAGTCAGCTGAGGCGCATGGAAGAGGTGGGGGGGGGGGGGGGTGACTTTTGAGTCGACTCAAAAGTCAGCTGAGGCGCATGGAAGAGGTGGGGGGGGGGGGGGTGACTTTTGAGTCGACTCAAAAGTCAGCTGAGGCGCATGGAAGAGGTGGGGGGGGGGGGTGACTTTTGAGTCGACTCAAAAGTCAGCTGAGGCGCATGGAAGAGGTGGGGGGGGGGGGGGTGTGGGCTCCCTTCACGTGTTTTGAGACGTCTCAAAAGGCTCCCTTCACGTGTGTGTTCCAATCCTGTCCGTTCAACCCCCGTCCCTGGCAGGACATGGCAGAGATGTACCTGTCACGAAAATCGTCGCTCCCCCATGGGACTGCTAACAGCGCGGAGCACAGCGAGGTGGAGGAGCTGCTGGAGGATCACCTGAGGCGCATGGAGGAGGTGGTGGGGGAGGCGGAGCAGCTGCTTTCCATGTCCGATGCCACGTCGGAATACCTCAGAACTGCTCTGGACAGGTGAGTGAGGGATGGCATATGAGTGAGTGGCGATAGGAGAGTGAGAGTGGCATGGGGGGGAAGGTAGAGGAAGAGGTGGAGCAGCTGCTGTCCATGTCCGATGCCACTTCGGAATACCTCAGAACCGCGCTGGACAGGTGAGTGTATGTTGGTAGTTGAGTGGATGGCGATAGGTGAGCGGTGGTAGTAGGGAAGTGATAATGGCGTGGGTGGTGCAGATAGGGGAACAGGCAGAGCAGCTGCTGTCCATGTCCGATGCCACTTCGGAGTACCTCAGAACTGCTCTGGACAGGTGGGTGATTAAATGGCAGGTGAGTGATTAATGGCAGGTGAGTGATAAGTGGCAGGTGAGTGATTAATGGCAGGTGAGTGATTAGTGGCAGGTGAGTGATTAATGGCAGGTGAGTGATTAATGGCAGGTGAGTGATTAGTGGCAGGTGAGCGAGTGGAACAGCTGCTGCCCATCTGCTTTTCTTCTCTTTTTCCTTCTTTTGTTTCTTTCTGGTATGTAGTCAGTGTGCTGAGGCGCGCGACTTCGTTTGTTGTTTTCTTAAGTCACCTTCTTGTTTTTGTACTTCGTGCAGTGCGCGCAATCCGCTGATCGAGCTCGACGTGCTTGTCAACATGGCGACATGCTCAGTGGCTGTGGGGGGCTCTATTGCCGTCTTATGTGTGTAATGTGTGTGTGCCTTCCTTTTCTCGCTCCATGCAGTGCGCGCAATCAGCTGATTGAGCTCGACGTGCTTGTCAACATGGCTACATGCTCGCTCGCCGTGGGTGGCTCCATTGCTGCTGTCTTCGGTAAGCATCTGGTTATTGATAGGTGTGTGATGTGTTGTGTGCCTTGGCTGTTGTCTGTTGAGTCGAACCAAAAGTCACCCCTTAGGGGGGCTCCATTGCTGCTGTCTTCTGTAAGCCTTTGTTGCTTGATAGGTGTGTGACTTGTGCCTTAGCTACTGTCATTTGCCATGCGTGAAGTGTTCATGCTGTGTGAGTGTGCTAGTGTAGGATGAGGTAAGTTTCAATCTTCGTGTCTATACATTCCACAGCCGGGAGTTTCGTTGTTGCCATTGTTGCACTTCCAGGCTGGCATTGACGGTAGGAATTCATCAGGGGTGTTTTTCGTTGCTCTTGCCACCCTTCGATCCGTCCCAGGCATGAATCTGGTATCATCCTTCGAAGATACCTCATTAGCGTTCCCCATCGCAGCAGGCAGTGTCGTGTCACTGTCTGCAGTTGTATTTTTGGCTCTACGCACATACGCCAGACGGCGAGGTATTATGTAATTAGCTGTTTATATGTTTTACATTGCCCTTTGTAGTGCATGTTATGAATGAACTTGCAGAGTGCGCAGAATATCGAATAACGAGAATGAACTGATTACCGAATGACGATACAATGAGAAAGGCACGACTAAATAGGGCAAGTCCTAGCTAGGCGGAGAGGTTGGGCGAGGATGGCTCGGTGATGATTGCGATTGGAGCGGAGGCGACTCGGGAGTGGTTCGGTGCGACGAAATAGGAAGGACATGTTCGTCGCGTGACCCTCGGGATGTCCTCGCTAACGAGTGCCTCAGTAAGGATTCTGTAAATCCTTACAGTGCAAGGAAGCGCTTCAAGTGTAGTCTACCTTGCGTACAAGCTTGGCTTGGGGAGTTCACCCACACCACACCTTGTCGCCTCGGACCCAGACCCCTCTAGTGTCCACGTGAAGCGACAACGCCCCTTCGACCAGTCGTTGGGCCATTCTCGCAGACTTGGGGAGGCAGGTCTGGGCCTTGCTAGCGTCACGGGTGTCGGTGTGTGGTGTGGTGGTGGTGTCTGTTCTGTGTCCTGGTTTGGAACACGGCCTGTGGGCCGCTGCTGACGCAAGGAGGTAATCGAAAGAACTGAGGACGTGCGTACAAGTAGAAGTGATTGGAACATTGTTCTAAATGGAGAATCTGCTTTAAAGGGCAACACCCGAATTGCTCAAGGGTGTCAACGCGGGAAAATTTGGTTCGGAAAGGCAGGCACTTGGAGGCTCGGAAAAGTTCCGAAAGCCTTGTGCCCTGCACCCAGTAGGGGGCGCGACACAAACTGGGGCCAGTTTGTGAGGGCTTTTCTGTAATTCAAGGGCTGGGCTTTAACATTCTTGTCTTGAAATGTGGTGCAGTATATATAGACAAGCAGTCGATGTTTCACAAAAGTTCAAACCAAAGACGCCCTCGAAATTCAGAAAATTCCCGAGGCGTGGTGTGGACAGCAGCCGAGCCAGCAGCGCATGGAGTGTGGACGAAAAGCCTCCAATCCCAGCCACAACCCCTCGACATTATCGAGGAATTTGCCAGGCGAGCGACGAAGAAAAAGCGTGGACAGCAGCAAGACGAATTGGTCGCTTCGGTTAGCTTCGGTTTGGGGAATAGACAAATAGGTGTAGCTGGTCTACGCCAGTTTAGTCTGATCCATTCGGCAAGCTCGAGGTAATTCATGAATGATCAGAATCCGACGTAAGCCCACTTCTGCACACAGTCACGCATTTCAGCAACCACAAATCACCAGCAACCACATATGCAATTCTGCTTCATAGTTTCAGGAAGCAGAGCCCTTAGTTCCTTCACCGTAGGCTCCTACGTCTAATCCGTTTTAGGCGGGATTACTCGTAGGCGATAGCTGTCTTCCCATTTTATAATTCCGAGGCTTTTCCTGTCATTGAGAAGCGTTCTGTGCGTTCGCCGAGCATCACGTCTCGCTCTCTCGACCAGTCGCTTCCTTGCAATCGCTCTTTTCTTCGTGCAGTCTAGAAATGTCTCTCCCTACGTCTCACGCGATTTCGTCGTCCAGGCTTCACAGCTTGCCATCCCTCCAGCCATTATGCGCATCTTCTAAGTCCTCCTCTCCCGCCTGCTTTCAAAAAAGCACCGCTATCGCGCCATCACGCATCGGATGCCCCCAGAAGCCTTCGTCAGCAGCGGGGAAATGCAGCAGCGTAAGCAGGCAGCGGCGACGGGTGGGTGGGAGAGGTGTGGTTGCAGCCAGTCCTCCCACGGAGGAGGTTGAGGTGCGGACTGAGCCGTTGACCAAGGAAGACCTGGTCAACTATCTGCGATCCGGCTGCAAGCCCAAGGACAAGTGGAGGTAAACGGCTAAGTTGGGAGCGAACCAATGCACGGCTATTTGATTTTTCCGACGTTTTTCAGGGTTCTAGGTTTTCTAGGTTTCCCATTTTTCACTACGGAAGATTAGTCAATGGGAAATTGGTATGTTTTTTTACCCTCGCGAAATTGAACGGTAAGCACATTATTTCCGCTGCGCTCTCACTATTTCGCTCACCTCGTTTCGTCTCGTGCCAGGATCGGCACGGAGCACGAGAAGTTCGGGTTCGATCAGAAGACGCTCCAGCCAATGACGTACGAGCAGATCGCGACGCTGTTGGAGCACATTGCGGATCGGTTCTCGTGGGACAAGATCATGGAGGGCGACAGGATCATTGGCCTGCGATCGGTACGTATCTTTGAATGTTGACTTAAGGGTTCCTAAAACAGCTACTCGTGGGACAAGATCACGGAAGGCGACAGGATAATCGGCTTGCGATCGGTACGTGTTGTAGTGCGCGGTAGTTTCGTCAAATGCTGACTGAAAAGACTGACAGATACTAACGACGGAATCATGGGGAGCGTCAGGATCATCGGCCTGCGATCGGTACGCGTTGCACTACACTGTAGTGCCGTTAAATGCTGAATTAGAAGGCTCCTTAACTATTTACTTGTGGGGACAAGATCATGGAGGGAAACAGGATCGTTGGAGGGCGACAGGATCGTTGGAGGGGGACAGGATCGTTGGAGGGCGACAGGATCGTTGGAGGGCGACAGGATCGTTGGAGGGCGACAGGATCGTTGGAGGGCGACAGGATCGTTGGAGGGCGACAGGATCGTTGGAGGGTGACAGGATCGTAGAGCAGTGAGTTTCGTCAGATGCTGACGAAGGAGGTTCTTAGAATTTATTTGTGTACAAGTTTCATGGACGGCGAGGATTGGCGGCTTGCGAACGGTGCGTGGTGGCAGGCCAATGCTAGTCTCCAATCTAAACAAATGAACCTATTCCACGAACAGTTATGGAACGTGTGAACATCGACAATCGCACGCGCTCGGAGCGTGTGCGATAGATAGCTACACACACTGAATATGGTCAGTGTTCGAGATGGATGATTCGATTTGCTGCATTCCTGCGGATCAGCGGATGAGGGGATTATATAATATCCATTATTGGAATGCGCAACCATGCACATTCACGCACGCCCGTGCACACTCGTGAACACCCACACGTTCCCTAAACTCCGTTACCCTTGGCAGAACGGGCAGAGCGTGACGCTGGAGCCCGGAGGTCAGTTCGAGCTGAGTGGCGCACCCCTGGAGACAGTGCACCAGACGTGCGCTGAGGTCAACGGTCACCTCTATCAGGTAAACCATTTACTGCCCTTTATTGCAGCCTAGACGTGCGCTGAGGTAACGATTATCCTTTCCAGTTACCCACGGGCTTTACTGCAGTGCCTAGGGCGGGTATAGCCAGGATACAATCACTCTACCAAGAACTTTTAGTTAAGTGGTGGCACAGCCTTGACGACACAGCAGAGACGTGCGCTGAAGTCAACGGGCACCTATGCCTGCCACACGCACCCGTGCAATCAACTTTACAAGGCGCAAGGCCACATCCAATTACTGGCTGAGAGCATTGTGATAATTTTGTCACTGACTTGGATTATTTCCGCTTGAATGTCTGGCTGATGGGTGCTGGTGGGTGGTGGTGGGTGGTGCGTGATTTTTGGCTTGGCACATGGCAGGTGAAATCCATCTGCGAGGAGGAGCACGTGGGGTTCCTGGGCCTGGGTTTTAACCCGAAGCACACCCTGGAGGAGATCCCCATCATGCCCAAGGTGAGGCGCATGTGTAATGCACAGAGCCGACTCACAACACACCTGGAGTCGTTTTGCGAGAGGTCTTAGAGCACATGGGGTTACTGAGCCTGGGCTTCAACCCAAAGCACACTCTTGAAGAGATTCCCATCATGCCCAAGGTGAGCTGCGATTCCCATCATGCCCAAGGTGAGCTGCGATTCCCATCATGCTCAAAGTGAGCTGCGATTCCCATCATGCTCAAGGTGAGCTGCGATTCCCATCATGCTCAAGGTGAGCTGCGATTCCCATCATGCTCAAGGCTTGAGATGCTGCCTTCCCTTGCCTTCGATCCCTTCCCACTACCCTTCTCGACTCTCATTCCCCTTTCCCGGCAACCCCATCCCCCACTCCCTTTCCTCCTCCGCCGTCCGCTTCCCCCAGGGTCGCTACACCAAAATGCGCAACTACATGCCCAAAGTGGGCTCACTGGGGCTGGAGATGATGTTCCCACTCCCGTATCTCCCCACCCTCCAGCTGCCCGTCTTCATTGCTCCATCCCACTCCACTCACTCCTGCCTCTCCCCCCCACTTCAGGGCCGCTACACCATAATGCGCAACTACATGCCCAAGGTGGGCTCGCTGGGGCTGGAGATGATGTTCCGCACGTGCACCGTGCAGGTCAACCTCGACTTTGACTCCGAGCAGGACATGGTCGACAAGTTCCGTGTGGGCCTCGCACTACAGCCGGTGAGTGTTTTTGCTACAGCTGGTGAGATGAATCACAGGGGTTACTCCCCCAGGTAGTGCACGGTGCAGGTGAACCTCGACTTTGACTCCGAGCAGGACATGGTCGACAAGTTCCGCGTTGGCCTCGCGCTACAGCCGGTGAGTGCTTTAGCCCTCTGCTGCTTCAGGCGGTGGGTCTCAGCTTTGCTTACCCGCCACTACAGTCGCTACTTGTGTTCGTCAACCTCGACTTTGACCCCGAGTAGGACATGGTAGACAAGTTCCGAGTCGGGCTTGGGCTACAGCCGATGAGCGCTACAGCCGATGAGCGCTACAGCCGGTGAGCACAACAGCCGGTGAGCGCTACAGCCGATGAGCGCAACAGCCGGTGAGCGCAACAGCCGGTGAGCGCAACAGCCGGTGAGCGCAACAGCCGGTGAGCGCTACAGCCGGCGAGCGCTACAGCCGGTGAGCGCAACTGGTGCGAGACGGGTTTTCCCCCTCATGCTACAGCCTGTGAGGTTCAGGGATGACCTCCTTGCGCTACAGCTGGCGAGAATCAGGTTTGGCCCCCCCCCCCGAGGGCTGTGCTAGAATGGGTGGGGTTGGAGATGATGTTTCGCACATGGGGTCGTTTTTGAGGCGCCTCAAAAACGACCTCAAAGCTGGCGAGACTCAGGTTTGGCCCCCCGGCGAGGGCTGTGCTAGAATGGGTGGGGTTGGAGATGACTTTTGAGTCGACTCAAAAGTCCCCCCGGCAAGGGCTGTGCTAGAACGGGTGGGGTTGGAGATGATGTTTCGCACATGCACCGTGTTCCCCTTTCTCTCTCCACTCCTACTCCATTAACCAAATTCCTCAACCACCCCCCCCCCTCTCCCCCTCCCCCTCCCCCCCCCCCCCCCCCCCCCCCCCCCCTCCCTCCCTCCTCCCCTTCCACCTCCCAACCATCCCTCCCTTCTCCCCACCCCCCGCCACTGTTCATTCTGGCAGGTGGCCACGGCCTTGTTTGCCAACTCGCCATTCCTGGAGGGCAAGCCGAATGTGTACCATGTTCCCCCCTTCTCAATCCGCCCCTACTCCATAAATCAAATCCCTTTCCCCCCCCTTCTCCCCTTCCCCCCTTCGCCGCAACCCCTGCCACTGTTCATTCTGGCAGGTGGCCACGGCCTTATTCGCCAACTCGCCATTCCTGGAGGGCAAGCCCAATGGGTATCTCAGCTACCGCAGGTGCGCTTGTGGGAAGCGGGGGTGGGTTGAGAGGCAATTTTTTACCGCTCAGGTTAGAGTTGGAGGTATACCTGTTGGTATCATGGACCTGCTTCAAGGGTGCACAGAAGCAGTGCCGGCAGACTGGTTAGAGCAGTCACTATGCTGCTGCCGTGCATGGGATTCGCGTCACGCTCTGCCCGTTCTGCCAAGGGCGGCTTTTGAGGCGCCTCAAAAGTGCTGGCAGACTGGTTAGTGCAGTCACTATGCTGCTGCTGTGCATGGGATTCAGCGTCACGCTCTGCCCGTTCTGCCAAGGGCGGCTCTGGCGCACCTGCGACAGCACTATGCGGCTTCAAGGGTGCACAGCAGTGCCAGCAGACTGGTTAGTGCCAGCAGACTGGTTAGTGCCAGCAGACTGGTTAGTGCCTCTGCTATGCTACTGTGCATGGACGGCACTGGTGGCAGCACAGCAGCACAGTGGCATCCGTCCAAGCCTTTTACTCTCGTTGCCGCCGCCATCACAAGCTTATCTGGCCAATCTCCTCTAAGCATTACCGCGCCTCCTTCTTTGTGCACGTGCAGTCAGTAAAAGAAATGTCTCTGATATTTTTCCCTTCTTCTGCCCCTCGTTGCTGTGCCCTTGCTCATTTCTTGGTTTCCTTGCCTCATCGCCTCACAGTTGAGATTAATTCGCCTTAGTAATTCTCCCTTTTTCTGGTCCCTTGCCTTGTCTCGGGTTGCCTGGCAGTCGAGTGTGGGAGGACACTGACAAAGACCGCACAGGGGACCTCCCGTTTGTTTTCGAGGACGGCTTTAGGTGCGTGCCACTCTTTTTTTCCGGTCCGCTCTCTCCTGTTTTGCATGAGATTCGTTCTGATTAGTTTTCTCGTGTCTGCGGGTTAGTGCTGAAATTTTCGAGAAACCATTTGAGGGCATATTGTTGACACCGACTCAGTGTTTTTCCTGAAACACTTAATACCCCCTGTGTCGTGTGTGCTTGTGCGTGCCTGTGCGTGTGTGTGCGTGTGCATATGCATGCATGGGTGTATTTGTGTGTGTATGCATTTGTGTGTGCATGCATTTCCGTGTGCATGCATGCATGTGTGTATGCGTTTCCATGTGCATGTGTGCATGTGTGCGTGCGTGACACCAGCTTTGAACGCTATGTGGAGTATGCCCTGGATGTACCCATGTACTTTGCCTACCGTGACCAGCGCTACATCGATGCCACTGGGCTCTCCTTCCGGGTAAGCACAGGTCATGGTGGTAAGGATGGGTCACGTTTGTGGTGCATGTGCACGGCTGTGAGTGCGCATGGCACTAGGTTTGTAGCTTTGAGCGCTTTGTGGGTGGAGTGGAGTGTGCCCTGGATGTGCCCATGTACTTACTTCGCCTACCGTGACCAACACTACATCGATGCCACAGGGCTCTCCTCCTTCCGAGTAAGCATGGGTGATGGTGGTGAGCAAGGGAGTCATGTGCATGTTTGTACGTTTGAAGGGCTATGTGGGTGGAGTGGAGTATGCCCTGGATGTGCCCATGTACTTTGCATGCCACGACCAGCGCTACATCAATGCCACGACCAGCGCTACATCAATGCCACGACCAGCGCTACATCAATGCCACAGGGCTCTCCTTCTTCCGAGTAAGCACATTTAACATATCACACGCATGTCTAACGTCTCTTTGTCCCGCCCCTCGCCTTCTCGGCCCCCCTTCACCCATGTCTTTGGGACTCAATTGGCAAACTGGCTATGACGACAGTGCTTTGAGTGAGCCTCTTCTTTCCCCGCTTCCCCCTACACTCATGCTTTCAGGACTTCTTGAACGGCAAGCTCCCAGTGCTGCCAGGTGCCTACCCCACTCTCAACGACTGGGAAAACCATCTTACCACCATCTTCCCTGAGGTATGGTGTTTCCTTCAAAGGATTTGGGATATTTCCGATGCGCAATCATTGCATGTGAAACCCGCATGCGTCACATCTTCGTGTCTACAAAGATCCTATGTGATTTTTTTTTTTTTTTTGTGAAATCCTCATGTCATCACACACATGTACACACTCCCTCCGTTGCCCCACCAACAACCCCTTGCCCTGCCACCAACCCCACAACCCACTCACCCCATCAGGTGCGGCTGAAGCGGTATCTTGAGATGAGGGGCGCGGATGGCGGGTCGTGGAGGAGAATATGCGCCCTGACCGCCTTCTGGGTGAGTGCATGCCACGTGCGAGCCACGTGCAAGCCACGTGCAAGCCACGTGCAAGCCACGTGCAAGCCTGGTGTGTTTCGAGTCTATTCAAATCAAAGTGCGCCTAGATGAGAGGCTCAGATGGTGCGTCGTGGAGGAGAATATGCCACGTTACGCCTAGATGAGAGGCTCAGATGGTGCGTCGTGGAGGAGACAATGCGCCCTGCCTGCCTTTTGGGTGAGTGCATGCCACGTTACGCCAGGTCCTCTGTTCCGCGCTGCACTGTTTGTCTCTTCTGTTGTGTGACGAAATTTCCGTCCTCATGTATGAGGTCACGGCAAGCACATGCGCTCTTCCCGCTCTCCCCGTTCCTCGCCCCCTTCCATACCCCTCACCCCTCCCTTCGCTCCCATCCTCCCCTCACCCACTCTCCCTGTGCGTCTCCTCCCAGGTGGGGCTGCTGTACGGTCGACAAGCGCTTGACGCGTGTCTGAGGGTACCCCAAGCACACGTTCCTTACCTCCCCTCCGCCCCTCCTTTCCACACTCTTTTCCCCCCTTGTCTTCTTGCCTCAGGTTGGGTTGCTGTACGACCGACAGGCGCTGGACGAGTGTAAGGCAATCATCTCTGAATGGACGGAGCTTGAGCGCTCTGCTCTGCGCACACATGTGAGTCTCCACACCACACACACCCTTGTGATGTGAGTCTCGCTGAGGCTTGAAGCCTCACTTTTCCTCCGTGTGTGTGTGAGTCATGAAACCGTGTGATGCGTGCGAATACACCAACATGGCAGGTTCCTGATACTCTCTCCCTCTGCTCCCCCCTTTTCTTCCTTATCCCCTCCCCCCGCCTCTCACCTCCTCTTGTGAACTTCCTCCTCTGTTTGGTCTCCCTCTCCCCACACATTCGCAAGTCCCCAACCTCTCCCTCCTTCCGCCCGTCTGCCCAATCTTCTCCTGCATGCATAACCCTCAAAAGCCTTTTGACTTCCCTCCTCCCCCCTCTGCCCTCTTCCATGCCATCTCTCCTTTCCCTCCCTCGTGACGTGCTCAAGTTTCCATCGTTCTCCCCGTCCTTGTCATCCCCCTCTGCTGTTCGCCCTTCCCTCCCCTCCCCCCTCCACTCCCTTAGCCTCTCCACCTGTCTGCCCTCAAGCTGCACCGCATATCAGGAGCTAAATAACCCCTTCCTCCCCACTTGGTGTTTTTCTGTCTTTCTTTCTTTCTTTCTTTTCTTTCTTCTTTCTTTCTTTCATTTTTTCCTGCTCCTCTCATCTGTTCCCATCGGCTGTATTCAGGTGCCCCGCATGGCCCTCAAGACGCCCTTCAGGGAGGGGCTGCTGCCAGCACCTGGCCCAGGACCTTGTCAAATCAGCAGAGTGAGTTGGAATGAACAGGGTTCTTTGACTAACCAGCAAAACTCCAACCAAGGCTTCCATTGCGCATTGCGTATCCAAGGCTAAAATGTACGCCCTGGCTGGAGTGGCTGTGGCCTGTGTCTGCTCTGCGTGTTTATCTGGATGTGTCTGTGTTTCCCTTTTTTCAGGACGGATTGCAAAGACGAGGGTACAGGGAAGGCAATTTCCTCAAGGAGCTGGAGAACATCGCTGCTACAGGTAATGTCCCTTTTTTGGGGTATTATTTGGGTGTACAGGATGTGGTTGCCCTTATCCTGTTCATGCTCGATGACGTCAACCATCATGCTCCGTTCGTGTATGTCATTTGTTCGGTCGTGACTCATGTCGTCCGATGTGACTAACACCCTTGTTTTCAGGGCAACTCCAAACTGTTAATTCCCGCTCACTGTGCCAGGCCATACCGTCCCATGGAATTTGCCACTACATGCAGTTTTGAAACATGTGTCCCGCCAAATGCCACTTTCCGCATTGCCACTTTCAATATGTTTTTTTCTTGTTCATCACATCTCTCCCGGCAGGTGTGACTCCTGCAGAGCGCATGTTGGAGGCATACCATGGCAGGTGGGGGGAGAGCGTGGACCCTATCTACAAGGAGCTCATTTACTAGTTATAGATAGCTGTTCGATTCGTCTCATACTCCCAAGGGGCAAGGAGACCCTAGTGGTCTATTGTCGGAGAGAGTTAGCCAGTAGGAAAAATAATTGAAAAATATGGTGGATATTGTGAGCAGTGCGATTCTGTTACCTAAGAATAACTCACATAAAGGGGAGTTTGGCTGATTAGGATGTTGCACGGCTTGCGCTGCATATCTCTAATGAGGAGGTTCTGCAGGCTATTGTATAGTACAGCATTTCTGTAATGAGAGTAGGAGGGACACTGTAATGAATATGCAGTTCATTACTGTAGAGGCTGCTCCTAGCGAGAACAGCCCGAGCACTTAGCGTCAGGATGGCTCGTCCTACACTTTCGCACCGAGCCAATTCCGAGTCGCCCCGCACCAATCGCGACATTTCCGAGCCACGCACATCTGGAGGTTCTCGCCTAGCTAGTTTTCGCCCTATATATTCTCGCTTTCTTTCATTGTTTCGTCATTCTGTAATCACGTCTTCTTTATAAAGTCTTCCGCGCACTCTGTCTAGTAAACTCATAACACTTGGTATCAGAGCTACTTTCCTAGCTTCCCCGTTTTTTTAGAGTGTATTACTCCTCCAGGGGGGGGGACAGGGAAGGATGCCGTGGTGACAGGAGCAGCGCAGTAGCCGGCCAGAGAACCGGATAGTTGCTCCTAGCGGCCATGTTTTACGGGCGTCCTGCTGCACCGCGGATCCTTGCCCTCGACTGTCGAGATGGACCGTGGCCTCCCTCCTCCCGGTGGCGGACAGCTTTTGCTGTCGTCGCATTTAATGCGTGAGTTTACTGTGTACGTTTCGGCGTTTTCGGATTAATTTTTGTGTTGAGCTGACGTCGACAGGATCTCCGTCAGTACACTTCCGAAGATGTCGGAAAGCAAGGCGTCGTGCGAGTTGCGTCGGCTCGTGGTCGAACAACTGCGCGCGACAATTTCGGAGCTAGCCGCGTGGGGCAAGTGGCGATGGGCGTCTTCGTCACGTTGCGCACGAGCTAGTGGAAGTCTTCGGCAAGTGGCGCGTCCGTCACTGTGCGCGAAGATTTTGGGTAGCAGCACGTGGGAAACCGACTGCTGGTCGAGCAGCCAGGCGCAATGTGTGATTTGCTTCGGAAAAACCGACGGCGAGGAGAGGCGGCGTGGCGACTGCCCTGAAGAAAGGCGGGGTTCTCCGTCGTCCCGCCCCGGTGCAGCAGGTGTTTGCTGCAGGAGGGTGCGTCGTGGCGTTTTTCGGCAGAGCGGCACAGTGTGGGACGGAAGTTGTCTTTCAAACCACCGAAAAGTTCGGAAAAGGCCGCCTATGACCAGACTGTTCTGGCTTGGGTGACTACTGTTTCTGCACAATGTTTATCGGCGAAAGTTTCGGAGCAACAGTGGCACCGATTCTGCACTTCACGCGGCACAGTTCCTTCGGCCAGAGGTACCTGTGTTTGCAGACAGCCCAGTACACCACGGAACAACGATTCGGCGGCAGCGTTTAGACCCGCGAATTTTCGGGGCTCTACGGCCTACAATAAACGGAGTTGCGACTAATACGGGTCCGGCGAGAGAAACGGGTTTCCGACTTCAGGAGGCGAGAAAAACGACCTACAGCGACGACTTTTGCTGAGGCCGAGTCTCACGGCTAAGCGGCGGTAGCAGAAGGAGCTCCCTACCGGCCAGTCTACCGAGGTTTCACATACCTCACACCAAAAAGCCTTGAAGGCAATTC